GAGGGGGAAAGGGCAGGAAAGACAATGAGGAGAGAGAGAGAGAGAAAAGGGGGTGAGGGGCAGGGGAGGAATGAGGCAGAGCTGACGAGACTAGGAGAAAGCAGGACGGGGTTGGAGAAAACAGCCGGTCAATACAGGGCAGAGAAAGTGTAGTCAAAACTGTAGAAAACACTCTGAGCATGAGCTTAGGTATCAAAATCTGGCCCTCAGCATTCACACTTCATCTCACTTTTTTACTGGGTAAGAGCAGGATTTGTCCTACATTGTAACTGTGTGGTTTTCATACAGAGGGTGTCTGTTGTAATGATTGGTATAAGTACGGTTGGAGCTATGTAAGGGGTGCAAAACCGTACAAAGAAATCAATAACTTTACTCATGGTAGATACCGCAAACTCCCCCATTAACACTGCGCCTGTCCAGCTGGTAACAGTCAGCGGCTGTGCTATTTTTCATTTGTTACTCATGTTGCTAGCGTGACTATCAAACCCTTTCCCGATCAGGTCACTGGGCAAATATTTGTAAATGATTTTTCATGGTTTGCTCTGGCATGGGATTGAGAAAAAAAGATCATCTTTATAGTTATATGCCAGATACGTCACATGTGTCTTTACAATAAAATTATCATGTACATCTGTAAAAACTTCGTCCAGCATCAGTCTTCTCAAAATGGTTTAACGTTATTTCCAATGTATTTTGCTGCCAGAAATTCAGCATCCAATGACTACAAAACCCTTATATCAGAGGTAAAATTAGTTCATGCTCATGAAGATTAATCTACTTCCAAATTCAAGGCAAGGTTTCCAAATGGCATATTTAATACATTATATTTTTTTCATCAGTCACTGAAATTTGTATTCAGCATGACTTTCCCTCTGAAGCAACAGAGCTTAAGGAACTGGGCAGTCAGACCCTCATTTTTAAAAGCATTGGCTAAGACACAAGACTTCTCTAATTTATACCTTCTTTTCCATTTGATCGCTGTTTTCTTCCCCCTCCCCCTGTAATTTAAGGGATATGAATATTTCCAATCAGCTACTGCTAAAATAAATGTATGAATTAAAGTGAAAATAAAATGGCATCTTACATTATGATTTATTTCTCAGTTTTTCACAGAAAGAAACATGACAGCAGAAGTCCAGCACAGATCATAAGGCAGAGGTAGACAACAATTCTCTTCAATGTACAGCATGTCAGTTTTTTAATGTTTGTGAGAGATGAGGGATTGACAACCCTGAAGAAGCCTTGGTAAAACCCTCTGTCCACAGAGCAGAGGTAATGGCTTTGTAATATCTGTACTGGAATTAGTATTGTAGATCCCATTACACTTGGAAGTGGTCCTGACTTTCTCTGTCATTGATAAAACTCATGCCCCTGCTGGAAGCACGTGTTTCTCTTTGGGTTCCTGCCTGCACCGCATGGTGTCAGAACTGACTGGGTACCGTTGCTGGGAAAGGAGAGAATAAATGAATACAGGAAGAGAAAGAGGGAAAGGTAGACGTCTCCATAATAAGAGTAGAAGGAAGCTCTGGAGCAGCCCCCAGAAGAGGCGAGATGAACAGAGAGAGAGAGCACCTCAAGCTCTCAAACTGAAAAGGCCCAACCCAAAGAGGGAGGCAAAGGAGGGCAGGGGGAGAGGGAAACAGCCAGGGAAGGGAAAACATATACTTTAACCTTGATGTGGAGGGATCACTGCTCAGCTAACAGGGTGCTCCCATCCTTACACCATGCCAATCGCTGCCTTTCCACAAGGAAAGTGATGCCACTTAGTATGAAGTGTAATAATTTCTTTATTTTGGACACCTGCTTGGACTCAAGCAACCAAGTCCCTGAGTTGCTGAGAAGGGCTTAGAACTGTGTAAATCCTAATGCTATACTGTTGCAATAGACTCTGTTCCAAATGAGGGGGAAATGCCAATCTCCTGTCCTGTTTAGTTTTTCCACTAGAGTGAAGAGTACCTCTTCCTTGCATTGATGATGGTGGCTGGTGAATTTAGCAGAACTCTTTCAAGATCCTCAACGTCCTTCTCAATATCAGGTTGACTTTACATGTTACTTGCAAACCCTTGTACACACGAGTAGTCTGCTCTCATGCAAACAGACTTTGGTAGGACTATTCACAAGTGTAAAAGGCTTTACAAGCTCAGAGTGTAACATTTTAACTTCTTCAAATGAGGGAGTATCACATAGTCTGTTTGCCTATATCTCAAGAACAGAAAAGGTTGGTTAGATCATGTGGGTAGAGACTCTGGCCCACATTTTCCTGTGAAATGAATGGTTTATTTAAGATGCCAGAAGTGGGCAGGTTTCGCACCCCAGTTGCTGTAGTATGGGTACTTCAAGATTTACACATTTCTAATCTTCCTTTTAAAACCATAAACCTGAATTACTAAGAGGTATGGAATGGAAGAGATTTTATATAAACCTCTAGTGAACTGAACCATAGCTTTCTTTATTTTCTGAAGCCTTTCTGATAACGTTAGAGCACTGTGGCAAATCTTGCCATAGACAGACTTGTATCCCTGAAATTCTTCTCAGGTCTATCTGATAACTGCATTCAGTATTTTATGTATTGTATTTCTTTGAGCCAAAGGCATTTTTCCTTTTGTTTTATTTTCTGGAAAAAATGGAAACATCTTCATAGCTTTGTTAAATAATTAAAATGACAATGTACATTTCCTCTCTAAGGAACTAGATCCTCCTCCCATTAAGTTAATGGAAAAACCCCCATTGACTTCAAAGAGAAGCAGATCAGGCTTCTGGTTTCTTGGTTGTTAAAAACTCTTACATGAAATATAGTTCTTAAGAAAAGTATTTTGTCAACATAATGAACTGAAGTGTTTTTGTCTTGTATTATAATGCCAATATTTATACTTGCAACTGAAAATAATACTACACACTATACAAAATGTTTAGTGTTTGTCGTTTATTTCTTTTAAAACTCTCCAAACTCCTGTCAAACATTCTTAATTCCTTTTGTGTAATAAGGCAGTGACGTTAACTGAGACATAAACAATGGTGGTGCCTGAAACCCACGTGGGATTGATTATAGGAGGTTGGGAGCAGGGGAGGGAAGGAGGGAGTGGAACAAGAGGTTGATCAATAAAATATATTTTCCATCTGCATGCCTTTTTGGTTTAGGATCCTCGGGGGGCAATTTAAAAAAAGAAAAGAAAGCAGTGTGTCAATTGAAGACATGTTTGCAGAGCTGAAACATATGGTTTGTTAGGAGCCTGAGGGAAGAAAAATAATGCTCGACTCCTTTGATGTTAAAGCCTATTACACTGAATGTGCATTTTACTGAGATGGAAGGAGGGCTGGGGGTGGGGAAGGCCTGCCTTACGCAGGACTGGAGCCCAAGGAGCAGGGGGGCACAGATCGCCTCTCTAAACCCTTCAGTTATCTGAAAGTGTGGAGCTTTACACTATGAAATGGATTTGTAATTGAAGCACTGGTTAATTTACATATCTCTTTTCCCCTATAACCATATATGCACGTCTATCACAATCAATGCAGAACAGTGGAGATAGTACCCTCTTGATATTTTACAGTTCTTTGCTCATATTGGACCAAATCCTGGCTCCTCCCACTTCTCAGTGGTGTGTCATAATCTGAAGATATGGGTTAGTATTCTCTTCGTCTGTCCCCAGCAGAGAACCACTACCCAAAGCCAAAACCTGTTTACTAGGACAGAAGGACTGAGTCTAATGTGCTTTGTTGCAATAAAATCTTAGGGTCAGATTGGAGGCTATCTTCTTTCACCCTTGCTCAAACTGAAATTGCATTGGGGTTTCTCAATATGAGTAAATGTGGTGGAATTTTGCCCCTTTGCTCTCAGTTATGCTTGTGCAAAACTGCACTGAACTTACTGGAATTAAGCTGGATTTACATGCGTCTAACTACCGAACATGTAGCCTCCAGTTACTAGTTTCTGAGATTGAGAGTTGACGGCTATGCCTCTAGTTAAGGCTGCCCGACACTTCCCAATTTAAGACCCTGTTTTCAGTTGCCTATAACTTTTTCAAACTTTAACCATCCCTACTGTCAGGGATGTGCCTTTTGCTGTCTGTATGAAAAGCTGCACAAAATTGGCCAAGCTATGAGCCTTTGGAAAATTCCACTTGGTACATGCTCACTAGAGATGTTAGAGTTTAGCAGCTAAATTCTTTGAAGAAGCTGAGCAGTACTTCCCCTGCAATTGCTTCTCCCAGCAGCCAGGGTCTGCTGTGTCAGCAAGTACTGGAAGTAAGAGCAGGGAGGAGAAGGAAAAAGTGGCAGTAGCCATGCTGGAATGCAGAGTAGTGGGAAATGAGGGCTTGGGGGAGGAGGTTGCAGAAGTCAGAGGATGGGAAAGAGCAGAAAAGAAAGGGGATAGCAGCAAAGGAGGAAGTGGGAGAGAGGGTGGGAGCATTGAACAGGAGCAGAGGGGGATTCAGGCAGGAGCTGGAGGGGTGGGATAGGAACAGAAGTAGGCTGGGGACACAGAGCCAGAAGGGTCTATAACCACTCTCCTCCAGAACCTGGAATAGGACCCAGGAGTCCTGAGTCTCAGCATTCCTCTGCTGTTAGGAAATAGCTGTGAAACCCACTGGAAAACTATGTTCCCACCCCCTTTTAATAACTGGTCCACATAAAGGATAACAGCCTACTGTGACATTCCCCTCTGGTGTTATCTGGACCAGTGATCTGCTAGGCCACTCCAATCCTTGACTCTGGGAGCCAGCCTTACCCTGCTGTACTGTGAGAACCCCCACTCCTGGGCTGCTCACACATAGCCTCTGGCATGTAAGCTGCTCCCAGCTACTTGCAACCAAATGACACTAGTCAATATCTCTGGTCCCAGAAACAACCCTAGGAACCTCTGTCTTGCAGTGTCTACTTACGCCCACTGGACCCTGCAAGTTTATGTAAGTTTGTCAATTTAACAAAGAAATTGATATGTACCAGGCTTGTTATCCCAAGGGGAGTCTCTGACACACTTCAAACCAAACGCACTGTTTCAGGTAGAATAAACAAACAGATTTATTAGCTATAAAGATAGATTTTAAGTGATTATAAGTCAAAGCAAAACAAGTCAGATTTGGTCAAGTGAAATAAAAGCAAAACGCATTCTAAGCTGATCTTAACACTTTCAATGTCCTTAAAAACTTAGGTGCTTCTCACCACAGGCTGGCTGGTTACTTTTCAGCCAGGCTCTCCCCTTTGATCAGTATTTCAGTCGCTTGATGGTGTCTGTAGATGTAGGTGCAAGAGAAAGAGAGCATGGCAAAATGTCCCTCCCTTTTATCATGTCCTTTCTTTCCTCTTGGCTTTGCCCTCCCCCCTTCAGAGTCAGGGGAGCATTACCTCTTGGCAGTCCCAAACTGACCAAAGAAGGGGGTGACTCCCTCAAGGGTCTAACAGATTCTTTTGTTGCTGCCTAGGCCAGCGTCCTTTGTTCCTGTGAGGCTGGGCTGGGTTTGTCCCATACATGCCCTGACGAGGTGTGAACTGCCTCTCTGTTCTTGGAGAGTTTTTGCATGGGCTTGCTTTAAGCCATGAGGATACATTTTCAGCCTCATAACTATATACATAAAATTATAACCTATAACATTACTGTAACAATTACTATAACAACCATGCTCAGTGCATTATGAGCCTTCCAAAGACACCCAACATGACAAACTTTGCATTGGATACCACACAGTCATTTTATAAAGATGAACATAGGGGTGTAGGGTGTCCCCCCGAGGTACAGAGCGTCACATCTACTACTGCTACCAGTTACGGCTGGTTTAGGAGACTTAAACAGATGACACTACACAGCTCCTTACTGGCTAATAATGGCTTTCTAGGCACATTTGAAAAACCACACTAGGTGCCTGTCTGCTTCTTTCAATATCTAAATACCTTTGAAAATCTGACCCTAGATGATTTGCCCAACATCGTCCATAAAGTCTGAGGCAAAGCAGGGACCTGAACCTGTGTTGCCCAATAGTCGTTCCCAACCACTAGACCACCCTTTCTTGAATACTCTGAAAGTAGGGGGAAGGACAAGAGTCTAGTCCTTTCTCTTTTCAGTAGCCTGGGGATGGGCCCCTTGTCTGCTTTGGGAATCTGTTCTGCTATGAACGAGGTGGGAATGAATATCTCTCCTTTTCTCTCTGTTGCCTGTTCACACCAGCACACAGTCAGACGCTTCCCTTTTCTTTTGTCTTTATTTCTTTGGTTCATTCGAGTTCATTTAGACCCTCTTTTCTGTATCCCAAGACCTGAAGTGCCTGAGGAGGCTGCATTTTCAATTAGGACCAGCTGGAGCTAAGGAATCCGGTGGAGAGGCAAGCGCTCCCAAGATGCTTAGCTAATATGTTCCAGTTGCTATAAAAACCTGATCAGGGAACTAGAACTGAGACTGGGCCAATTCGGAGAAGATTAGTTTAAAAGTCCATATTATATGTGCTCTCAAGCCGTGGGGAACTATGAAGCTCTTGGCCATTTAATTATTTTCCTTGGTTAGTAAAGGTTTGGCATTTTACTTTGCAAGTAGCCTGTTATCAGCTGATCTTGGATGCTTGGTAGAGACATAGGGCTTGTCTACATGGCCCTGGGGTGTGCACTACAGGGGTGTGAGCTGCAATGCCCACTGAAGTGTTGAGCTATAACTGCCCCGTGTTAGACCCAGCTAGAACAAACTGTAAATGGGACTATGTTAATACAAACTAGGTACCGTTTAGTTTGTGCTAGAAGGGTCTACATGGGGCAGTTATAGCTCTACACTCAGTGTGCACTGCAGTTCACACACCCCCGTAGTCCGCACTGTGGGGCCATGTAGACAAGCTCATAATGCCTGGTGGGAAATGATTGCACCAGTCATGCTGCTACCGGAGGGGGGAAAGGGTGACCAGCTATTAGAGTGACCCTAAAGCACCAGCCATGCTCAGCAGCAGTTGGTGCCCACTGCAGGGAAGATATAGTAACTGCAGTAGGAGAGGGTCAACCACTTGCGGGACTTAAGTTTTGGTTAAACTGGATCAGCGTCTACATTTCTGGATGCTTAACATAACAGAATTCTTCTCAATTGATGGATGGGATCCTCAAGAGTATATGGGAAGTGGCCCTGCTTGTCCTTCACAAAACCCACCCACACTCTTCTGTTACCTCCCTGCTCAGAAAGGCAAATGATGGGCTGATGGGTTTGTGACAGTTCCCATTGTTGGTGCTGTCCTTTCCTGGAGACAGAGTTCTGTAAGGCTGGGTTAAAAAGGCAGCAGCATTCATTGTAATAGCTGCAGAGATATTTTTTAAAATGGAAGTTTTGAATTGATAGCTCTTACAAAAATGCTGCAAAAATTGGAGAGGGCCTAAAATGTTGTGCACAGGGTTTCTCTCTTATCCCCATGTCACCGTGCCTTTGTG